CTATTGAGGTATAAACGAATGTGTGCATAGGTGTAGGCATAGGGGTAGGAACAGGGGGGGCAAGAGGGGCTTAAGCCCCCCCAACTTTCATTGAAGGGGGGCTTAGCCCCTCCAACTTTAAGTGATATACATGTATTACTATTATCAACACTATAGACTTTAGTTTAGGTAATCCTTATATGTGTGCATATTGTGTGATGATTCATTTCATAAAACAATTAATACACTAGTTTAGCTTCTAAGAACATATACTAGTTTTTTTCAGAAATACACAAGCTTCTACTTTTTAATTTAACAAATCTGTTAACATTAGCTTCATAGATTTTCGACGTTAAGGAGGTTAAAAAACTACTTGCGCTCCACAATGTCACAAGAGCATCTTAATCATGTAGTTATTTTGCATACACATAAAGAATTTACAGACAATTTATACATCGAGGACATTGCAAAGGAATTTGTTACATTTAATGAGCATAGACGCCAATATTTTGGACAATATTAATCTCAGTACAATGATCAATTGTTAAATCATGCTCCTATGATTGCCAATAAATAATACCTTAGCCCCCCCAACTTTTAGTTTGTTCCTACCCCTATGGGTGTAGGAATGATTGAAAGTTGGGGGCTGAACAAAAAACATGTGAACATGTACTGTCATAGGTACTCTTGACAGCTACTGCATCCCTAATTACTGTCATATTTATTGCTACAATAATTCACACTGTGCACATTCAAATAAAAATAAAGTTTCATGCTAGAAATTGAGCCATGTAATGGTATTGTTATTGTTCATCTATTGAAAATTGGGGGCACTAAGCCCCTCCTGCCAAAAAGTCGGGGGGGCATTAGCCCCTATTGCCTCCCCTTTCCTACACCTATGAATGTGTATCTTAGCTAATGTAATACTTTTATGCATGACATTCACTGAAATAATGTAGATATAGACTTATTTTGTTATAGATGATAAATGGAATTGAGTCAACTAATAGTTGGTTAGTATCAATTACTCATGACTTTATGAAGAGCTTGAAGCAGCCAAATATGTTTTTTGAACTCGTTGCTGAACAATATCCACAGTACTATACATATGTTATGAAGCTTAGCAGCTTTGATAAGGTGGGGTATATTAAACATTATTTTGCTATAATAACAGTAAGCAGTTAATTAAGAACTAGTCTCACATAACCAGACTCCTCCCCTTTTTGACGTTGGAATCAGACATCAAAAAGTGGAGGAGTCTGGCTATCTAAATCTAATTGAGAACTTAATCTGCAGTCAGTACAATTTTTTAGTAACTCAGATGGATCTTCCATAGATCTACCATAATTTGCCTTTTTTCGTACAAAAAAATTTTTTTGTTTCAAAAAATTTCAAGTGGAAATATTTTCATCTTTTGCAATATTTTTGTCATTGACAATACGACAGTATTTCCACAACAAAAAAAGGCAAATTACAGTAGCTTATATCTGTTATATAGGAGCTTCCTTGTGGTATTGAAGCAAAATTAAATAAACTACATGGATATGTGAAAAAGCAGTTAGGATTCTTTCAAACTAGTGCTGTAAAAAGTATAATGTCCTTAAAGGAGGAACACTTCATGCAAGTGCAAGAATCTTGTAATAATGTTAAGCCATTTTTGACAAAGAGATTAAATGATTTGAATGAAAAAGCCCAGGTCAGTTATATTTGCACTGTTAGCATTTAATATATTTTGTGGATTAGATGCTTTTCAAAACTGCAGATCGTCGGTTAATTCTACCTGAAAGAGTTGAATCAAATTACTCTGCTTGCATAACAAAAATGGAGTTTTGCTTTGTGGTTAGTGGTTATGTGGACTTTTATGTATCAGAAGTCCTGTAGACAGATTTTCAATTTAATTATGTATAGTTGAATGCCGTATTTTACCAATTAGACTCCCAGATGTTTATCTTTTAACAGCAGAAAAAATTGCATTAAAATGCATCTAGCTTGTTCAACTGTTTGGTTTAATTGAGTATAGTATATCTGAGATGGATATTTTCTTTCTAGGACCTTGAGCAGACATTAAACTCAGCTAATGAGGATGAAAATTTTATTACTTATCTTGCTAAAATTTCTGAAGCAATTGATTCGGCTGAAACTTTGACAATAGGAACGTTACAGGTTTTGCTTTATATATGTGAATTTGTTTAAATGCTCATGTTTATTTCATTAGTGTCTTTACTTTGATCAATTTGGAGTTGTATCTTCAGATGCAAATTATATTAAACTCGTTGACTTCTATCAAATTGTTTCATGGATTGCAAGTGATTACTGCAATCCATATACAGATGTGAAGGTAGATCTAAACTAATTTTCAATTAATTTGAGTAATTCATGATGATGAAATAATTTCTTCAAACAAATAGACTCAAAACTATATAATGCATAAATTTCCTGAATATGCCAATTTAGTCCTCAGATATCAAACTAGGGATGCTGCAGCAAAAGTAATTAACTACCCTATGCTTTTCAATTAGATCTATTATACACTTTATTAGATTGAGACATTGAAAGCTAACTGTCATACTTGGAAAAAGCTACTTTCCTGTAAAAAACTTGCCAATGATTTGAAATCTATTTTACCTGTAACAAAAAGATCAAATGAAATGCCATCTTTTTGTGAAGTACAGTTGTAATTTATGCATTATATATATATAGTGTTGATATTTAGGAGCTTAAAGAAATTCTAAGAAATTTAAATGCATTCTTGAGTAGCTCTACTAATTACTGGATTACTGCATATAC